GTTTCGCCTGGTTCATTTCCCAAATTGCAACTGTGGTTATCACATCCCACCAAAATCTGTGGGGGAATCTTTGATATTCATTTTGTAACTAAATAGATAAATGTGCACAAGCTGTAAAGGCTGAAGGTTTGACTGTGTGATCATATATCTCAGTATCAAAACTGAAGTTGAAATTTCATTTTATGCTCTTATATTAAACTCTTTATACACTTGTGCATTTCCTGTTCCTTTTTGAGGTGTTACTAGGGATAGATGCACTTCTCTTTTTCAGCCACATGGTTTTCTCACATGTGATGACTTGTAAAGTTGAGCCAATCAAAATGTGGTGCATTGTCTCAGGGTGCAGGGTAAGGGGACAAAGATATAAAAATGCTTTCCAGGCCTATGATCATTTATGTTCATATATATCACACTGGTAATTTAACAAACTCACACAAGGAATTAACCCCAAAGTGTTTGTGGCAAATAACATAACAGTTCAGTTGTTTTTACTAGTACAGCGCACTGGTGGGTGATTTTGTGGGGTGGTCTGGAAGTAATCATCTGCTTCTGAAAGAGGATGGCTATATTCCCTGTTTCTGTCTTGGGACAAGATGTTGACTTGATGGAGCAGTCCAATACCTAGGCATCCACATCTACAGGTTGAACTGGAAGGCCAAATGCAGAGGCTGTATCCAAAACTCACGTTCAACAAAATGATGGCGCTTGGCTATCACTCAGTTGCTGAGAATGCAGTGTAGTTTGTTGGTCTGCTGGCAGAGCACTGTTGGAGCTGGTGACACCAAAAGACTGAGTGACTAAAAGACATTTGGAATTGTGGTGTAGGTCAATAAACAAAATCAGAGCGATAAAAGGCATTTACATGCAACCAATAACATACACAAATGATGACGATGATGATGATGATCATCATCATTTCAGCTGCTTCCTGTAGGGGTCACTGTAGCATCATCTGCCTTCATACCACTCCTTCGCACGTCCTCTTTCACTACACCCATGAATGTTCTTTTGGGCTTAGG